TACAAAGTCATTTATCCCAAGTTTTACAATAACACAATCAAATAAATAATTTAAACAAATTAAAATTAAAAATCAAACCTTCCGTGGACGGAGTGTAGCGGGCCAAATACGGGCCTTCAGCTCCGTTTTCGACCCGAAAGAAAGAGCCAAAGGGACAGCCAATCAAGGGCTGCAGAGAGCAATTTGTATTCCCAATTTTCACTTTCCTGCGCACCCATTCCGCATTCAGCTGTAAGAATTCTCAACAACTCGAAAAACAAAAACAGAACTGAACTGATAGCAAAAGACTACTTACGCTCCGGCGGAGAGGCGGGCGAAAACCAGACGGTCGCCGTCGTTGATGTCGAGCAAGACGGAGCAACCATCCCAGGTGGCTCTAGGGTTTTCAGATAATTCGATTTGGGGCTCACTTTCAGAAATCTCCATTCTTTTTTATCTTTTACTGAATTTTGAACTGAAGCAGCAAGTACAACTACAAGCTAAAACCCCAACAGTCCCCGACGTTTCGCTTATCTAGGGTTTTCGTTCAGGGTTCGGCGATCACGATTCACGACGACGTTTCCTGTTTTTTAAACTTACGCGAGGCCCGCGAGAATAAGAGATTCGAACGATTCGCGGGTGTAGCGTCGGGTAGTTTGGGCCCTATAAATCTGGAACGGAGAGGAATAGTTTTACTGGGTCTAGAGTCAAGCCCGATATTGATCGAACTCTCATCTTAACCCATTTGTTGCAAAATAAAGTATGAAAAATGGGGTAAATTATAGGTGAATTTACATTCTCGATGAACTTGTACTTGTCTACTTAAAATTAAGGGATGTTATGAATGAGAAATGTTAAGGGGACTTTTTAAAAAATAGAACTCTTTATGGATTCTCTGCCACCTTATATTTTTGTTACAATATTTTGTAATAGTGGCACTAGAATTAACGTTGAACTGTGAGGTGACAGAGAGTCATAAAGAGTCTTACACTTTTCTTTTTGTCTTCCTTTCTCTATAAAGAAGTCAATACAAGATTTGACGTAATCGTAACTATTCAAATATAAGGGAAGATAAGGGGAAGGAGGTTTGAAAGAAAGAGAATCATGCTCCGAAATTTTGCCATACGATTGGAGATACATTTCTCCATTTTTCATGTGATCATACATCCCCAATTACATTTAAGATTTTACTTATAGGTAGACAACTAATAGAAGTAATATACTAGTGAAAAATATGAGAGAGCCACATGGCTTTACAAGACAGCCATATCGAAGTAGTTGACATGTAGCATTGGTCAAATATATATACAGGCCTTTTATGCAAAATGATCTTCATTATTTTTTTAAAAATGGAGATTAGGTGTGGGGTCCATTTCATATCGAATTTTAATGATCCAAATCGTTTATTTTGTAAGTCTCGATTCATAGATCATTCTTACAAAAATTCAATTCAATCCGAAATCATTTGCCTATTTAAATATCAAAATAAAATTTCATTGTTTCTTATATAACAAAGCATTCGTTAATTTATTTGAACTCAATTAGATGTCTTAGACATTTCTTATTTGGCTAATATTTTGCAAGGATGATCTATGAGGTGCAACTTGAAAAATAGACAGTTCGAATCGTTAAGTTCGATGTGGTGTAGACCCCACAACTAATCCTAATTTTTATATATAAAAAAAAGGATCCATTCCCTTAAACGTTTCCTATATATATATATATATAGAATGGAGAACTATATATCTATATATAAGGCACAATTAGAAAATACGAGGCACATGCATGCCTTCACTCGTGGAGATATTGCTGGCAATTAAACTGTGATGAACTTCTGTTTATATTTAACATTATCAATGAGGAGCGACGTTGACAATGCATGCGGTTTGTAAAGATAATATAAATATTAAGCAAACATATTTGATAATAAAATGAAGAATCGTAATTATTTAGGTTCAAAATTAATAACAACGTACGTAATAGCTAGCTAGCTAACTCCAGCTTTAGTACTTTGAATCTGATTAATTATATTCTTAATTAATCCTCTTCATTATATGTATATGGGTGAAAATTGCTTAATGTTTGTCGAGTACGGATGAAATGCAAAAAAGGTTTGGTTCCGAGTTGGCTGACCGACATATGGACACCACTTTTAAACACTGCTTATCTTAAGGCAGTGGTTGGCCAAAACCAATCTCATCTCTAACTGCTCCCAAAATAATACCCCCTTTTTATGCTTTATTTTTCTAATTAATTATTATAATATATGTACGAATCTCGAGCCTCTACATTTACTTGTTGTGCTTTCACCCGCATTTCGTTCTATCTTGACCATTATATGATTTAAGTTGTTGGATTATTATAATGGTTAAGATATAGCGAAATGCGAATAATGCATAACAACTCAACAAGCAAATACAGAGACGCATAATCCATGTATTAATTACCACACGCGTGGGGAGCTAGGGCAGCTAACTTAACTGGACTCTGATTCTGCTCTATGCATATGGTTGTCCTTCCGTCTTTCCTAAACAATGTACAAATTTAATAAGTTCTCCGGTTACTTGTTTAGGGTTTCTCTTTTGCGATCTGCTTGGTTTCTCCTCTTCATGTGTCGCCTTGTTTAAATGCCGTCGTGTTTGACGGATGACATACGAAATGTATACGATTTTCACACATAATTGAGCATTTAAGTGTATCCGTCCCTGGCTAGGAATCTAAAAAAAAGTAACGTAGAGGACGAGCTACATGCGACATATTGATCGTGTATTGGTATGGAGTGAATCAGTCAATGTAGTGGGTGGTTCTTCCTCCTTCGATCTGACAGCATGTGAAAGCACAGAGTTTGAAGGTTTATTTGGATGTGGCAGGTTCTGCAGATGAGTGTGCTGAAATAGATGGCTTGTTAATTGCAGGGAGGGGGTCCCTGAAATTGATGAATCATATGTGAGAGTGGGAGACATCGGAAGGAGGAATAGAATTATATACAGAATCTGAGTGAATCTGGTACAGTCCAAGTAGTAGTTGTTTCCTGCTCTTTCTCCGTGTTTTATATGGTGGAGGATGTCTCTTTGGCTCTCTGCACTTCACCTTTTTCTTCCTTTTCGATTCTAAACCCCTATTTTATCATGATATGCACACAAATTAACGGAAATGTCCGCAGCTTTAGGGACAGTGTCTCCACACTCCCTCATCCATAAAATGAAAATGCACGTATTTGAAACTGGCTCTAAAATATTGTTAGGTCATATTCAGTCATGGAAAGCTAAACATAGCTCTTGGCTATATTTTAATTCTTTAAAAATTAATATTTTAAGGATTACTTTAGATCTAAAATTTTCCTATTTCCAACTACATGCAGCACTATATTTTATGGATCATGAGTCTCTACATTTAGGCTTTACGTATATGCTTGCATTTCGCTGCATGGAAATACCTAATGGCAAAACTAGTTAACATGGTTTGAAAATTATTTTCTTTTAAGAAAAAGTAAACTTAATTGTAGACTACGTGTCATACTTTAGATCTTTAGACTATTATAATGCACAAAACTTAAATGTAGAAACTCGTGATCCATATTTTATTCCCCTTCGTCTTTTATTGCTTTTTTAGGCCAAACTTAGTTTGCCTTGGGCTACATGTTTCCTGCCCTAGGACTAAATTTAACTTGATTCTTTTAGCCTGATTCCCTTTAGACCTTTGGTTGGAGACTAATTTTGTTTCATTTAGAGCTAAATATGGTTTATGGCTGGAGATGGCCATAGTGACTTAATGAAGGAAAAATTATTAGTAAAATAGTCATACATAGATACACATCCTCACTTGTAAATGAATTCATCTTCATTCGTAAGACTTGTTGATATTGTACAAATGAATTGTACATGTTTCATGCTTCACAAATCTTGTATCAGAAAAATTTTGTCAATTTTTTTCATTCACCGTTTTCTGTTGTTGATTCCTCGTCGAGTGAGAAGAAAAACTTTGGCCACAATAAATTAAAGTTTGGTAACAAACTACATACCTCTATTTTGCTCAGTTACAATGAGGTCCATGAGTGCATGCTTAAATAAACAAAAAGTATCGTCGGTCCAAGAGATTTTTTCATATAATCAGAACTATATTTATCTTCTGTATCCTATATTCATCTCTTAATTTATCTTCTGTATCCTATATTCATCTCTTATAAATGAGATAAGCTCCATGTACAAGTTTCTCTCCTCGTTTGATAGTTTCAACTTTTTCATTCCCAAAACTGGCCGATCCAAACAAAACTTTCAACTTTGAGTGCAAAAACAATTTAAAGAACGTGAGTTGAAGAGAATAACAAAAGGACCAATAAAGCACAAGAGAAAGGCTCCAATAAGACAGCATACAAAGCACATCCGCGACAAGCCGTCTAACTACATCGCACATTAACATGTTATTTTATCCTTCCCTTGCATCTTCTGGCCCATCGCACTCAAGTAGCCCTCAATCAACCGTTGATTGAACCGACTCGATGACAAGGTCAACCTTCTTCTCATCAAAGGTTCTACTTCTTTATTTGTACTTAAGCATAGAAGGTAATTCAGAACCGGATGCAAACGTTATGATAAATTTTGCTAAATCATGAGTTCTTTTATATGAATCGTTACGTGGTGTTATTATTTCATTCAAATTATTATACGATGTTATTATTTTACTTAAATTATAATATACATGTATATCTTTTTAATTAATATATATCTTAAAAATAAGATATGTTTATTCTATCATCTACTCACATTATATAGCACAAAAACTAATAAAACTATGTGACAATGTTATTACACATAGTAATGTTATGAAGATTAAATTTGTAAACAAAATTTGCAAACTAAATATTGCATCATCAATAGGAATGAGCACATTTATCAACACTTAAGTCAATAATCCAATTATCGACTTTCATGTTATTTAATTTACAAATTTAATCTCACTAATATTACCATATATAGAAGTTTCCCTCATGTGCGCTTTTGCCTTTAGTTAATTACCAATCTAGGAACCATCTTCCACTACACAAATCTCCTTTACCCACTCTCTCTTTCTTCTCTCTCATACCAAAAAAACATAAATATGAAAATATCAATATCACTTCTTTAATTTCTCAGCGATCTGCCTTTTTTCTATGGCTCTCTTCACTTTTGCACCAGAGGCCACAGAGCCCAAGAAGAAGGCAACGCCACCACCAAACCCCAGGCAAAAGCAGCCGTCTTCCAACAACAAAAAGCAACAAAAACCACCACCACCGTCCTCCTCCTCATGGGACCACATCAAGAACCTCCTGACCTGCAAACAGATCGAAGGGTCGAGAGTACACGACCCATCAAAAAATAATATTGTCGGTGGCGCTGCAGCCGGCCAAAGTGGAGGCTACTCGAAGCTGGGGTTGTCCTGCAGCTCCATATGCAGCTTCAGAGATGTCGTTCATGGCAACACTAGGGTCGTTCACAGAGGTGACAACTCGTCGCCCGAGAGTAGCACGCTGGGTCAGGAAACCGGGTTGCTGTCTAGGAAACCTGCGACTCGGTCAGCTAGATCCAACGGTTCTGGTTCCTCTGCTGCTTATCATACGCCATCATCGTCCAGAGGAATGCAATTCCGGAAGCTCTCTGGGTGTTACGAGTGCCACATGATCGTTGACCCTAGCAGGTAGATATAAATACATTTTTTGTTTATAAATATAGTCTAAAATACCACTTAGAGAAGGAAAAAAAATGATATAATTTTATATTTTTACAGGTGCCCAGTTCCTAGGTCTACTATTTGTGCTTGCTCTCAGTGTGGAGAGATCTTCCCAAAGATTGAGAGTTTGGAGCATCACCAAGCAATTCGCCATGCTGGTACTACATAATCTATTTTTCACGAAATTAATCATTTTCATGCTGAGTTAATTTCCTTTAATTATTTCATGCTTTATTTATTTTATAGGCAAAATTATTTTTCTCCATGATTTATCCTTTCAATTATCCATCATATGTTAACTATTTTCTTATGTAGAAATAGTGAGTTTATATTACCTTATATATGTGATAAAGTGCACGCAACTTTGTCTCTATATATAGTTTTTCATATTTTATTGGTAGCCCCCTTTTTTAATATTGATTTAGAATATAATCTTGTTGATAAAAGTTGAGAAAAAAAAAATCAAAAGATAATATTTTTCTTCGTGCATGAGTAAAAAATTGTGCACAGTAACTCTTGCATCTAGCATATAACTAATTATAAAGGCAGTCAACTTCCAAGAGTACAAAGCTACAGCTGTCCATGCACTACCAATTAAATGATCCTGATTCGTAAGGTGGCCTGTCTTAAATAATAGGGACACGATCTTATTTGTTTCCCCGTTACTGTAGTTTCTCTCTCAACAAGACAATGTTCTAAACAGTATATAACGTTGTATTATTATTAGATTAAACGTCATGTGAATAGTAACTCGTTCGTTCCATGTAGCTTTTCTTAACATTATATAACCCACTTGCCATGTCAAAACTCAATCATCAAGAGTTCACGATCCCACTGACAAGATAGATTTTTCAACGTGTTAAAAACAATTTAACCTCCGTTAATTTTACTGTTTAATTAAATGTGACATATATTTGGTTCATATTTTAAGCACTCAATTTTAATGTTTAGTACTTTTACTTTTTAATTTTTTTATGAAATTGACGATCAACGTATGCTAAAAATGTGAGTATATGCACATCATCATTTAATGTCTAATTAGACAAAGAAATTGACCAAGAAGTTAAATTGGAACAATTGAAATATCATGTAGGGTAAAATGCAAACATTAAAACGTTATGACTGTAAAATGCAGTTAACCGTTTTACTATATTTGAAAAGGATTGCTTAATATAAAAATGGGATGCAAAAATAATAATTTTTTAATTTGTTAACGGTATAGTATCGGAGCTGGGGGTAGAAGATTCCGGCCGAAACATCGTGGAAATAATCTTCAAATCCAGCTGGCTCAAGAAAGACATCCCGTTCTGCAAGATCGAACGGATACTAAAGGTTCAAAACACGCAGCGCACGATCCAACGGTTCGAAGACTGCAGGGACGCAGTGAAGAACCGTGCGCTGAGCAGCACGCGAAAGGACCCCAGGTGCGCGGCAGACGGGAACGAGCTGCTGCGGTTCCACTGCGCCAGCATCTCTTGCACGCTCGGCGCACGTGGCTCGTCCAGCCTTTGTGGCTCCGTACCGGGCTGCGGAGTGTGCACGGTCATCCGTCACGGTTTTCAAGGCAAAGCCGGGGCGGGAGGTGATCAAGGTGGGAGCAAGGGAGTGCGGACCACTGCCAGCAGCGGTAGGGCCCATGATTCGTTGAATTGTACGGACGGCCGCAGGGCAATGCTGGTGTGCCGTGTCATTGCTGGCAGGGTGCGGCGCATTGCAGACGGTGAGCCGCCGGAGGAGGATGGCTTGTCCCAACTGTCGGCAGCTGCTGGCTCCTACGATTCTGTAGCCGGATTCGCCGGAATGTATTCCAATCTCGAGGAACTTGTTGTTTATAATCCGAGGGCCATCCGCCCATGTTTCGTAGTCATTTACAAGGCTATGGAGTCGTGATTAAGGTCTTCGTTTAAGTTCCCTCATGACTTGGTTATCTTCATTACATTGTGAGTATATGTAAAGAAACTTACCTGTGTTTGGATGTTACTAAGTCAATCATATATGATGATAAATTTGAACGCTTTCCAATATAATGAGTGATTTGACTTAAAATACTTTTAAAATGGTTTCCTGTCCGTTAAAGAAAGTTCTTTTCGAGCATGCTGTATCGCCTAATTAGGTCAACCTTGCTAACTTCTACTTCTTTCTTTCTTTTTTTCTTTTCTTCACATGGTGGTGCTAGTGAGGTGAGACCAACTTATATTTTTGTTTTTCTTTAGATTATAGATTTGCTTAATGGGTTTAGCAGCTTTAGTTCAACTGCTCAACTGCAAGTGTATTTGTTAAACTGTTTTATCAAATAGGCAAGCTAGACAATTCAAAACTAGCGTATCTAGAAACTTATGTAGCTAGAAACAAATTCATTGTTATCATACCATTTCAATCGAATTATACAATGTTATGTGGAGAAACATTGTACAATAATATAATGTGGAGAAACGTCATGCAGTAATGATAAACTCGTTTCATGAATGAAGCATATAGTTGACAGATGATAATTGCATACACACGCGTCATGCGTGAGGTGTGCACAACCACTATTAACTCTCATTGTTTGGAGTGTTTATATTGAACTGTGCAAAAGCCGATTAATTTATGACATCAACGCAGTGATCGCTCATGTTAAAATAAGATAAGATAGTTATGGCGAATAGTATATATAATTGGAAACAAGTAGCTAGGGGCTCCCAAAAATCATGTTTAATATAATCCCCGTTGAGATTACTGACAAATCTTGCACGTAAAAACATGTTAATATTAGGTTTCCATATTGAAACTGTAAGACCATCTCCAACTGAATGAGAGTCAGAGGGCTCATTTTAGCTCTTTAGCCTTCTAAGAAATTAATATTTTAATGAACAGTGCAGATTCATATTTCTTACCATCTCCAACCGATGGGCCAGAGGGTCATAGGCCAAACATAGCCCTATGACAAAATATCATCTCCAACCGAGCAATAGCGGAGCCAGAAAATTTTTCTTGGGTGGGCTAACTAAAATTATTAGCATGTAATCTTATGAATTTTTTTTTTTGCCTACATAAAAGTAAGAACATGAAGTACTAATCCAAACAAGTTTATTAATTACTTTCCAACTAATTTTTACACAAATAAAACATGCATACAAAAAAGCAATAGAAAGAGAACAAATATTATCACTTTTGTTGATAACAAGTACCCAAAAGAAAAAAAGGTTAGGGGATACCAATTCAAGTCGTGCCATAGATATATGGAATAAAATTGAAATCTTTTGTTATTATTAGAATCGATATTGTTGTTGAGCCCTTTTTATTAGTTACAAATACAAGAACCATGAAACATGGACTATTCCCATAATCTTTAACCCTAATAGACAAATTCAAGGACTAAAAAAAATTAACCTAACAATTGAATCAAGAAATGAGTTAAATGAAGAAATGAAGAGCATACCTAGTGTTGAATTTCATTAGAAAATAATTTGATGGTGATTCATAGTTTTTCTTTTCTTAGGGTAGAGGGTTTAATTTTTTTGTTTTGAACGAATAGGGTAAAAAACATGGGGAATAGGAGAAACCTAATTATGTATTAATTTACCATTTTTACTTTTAGCCTAAAAATAATAAAATAATATATAAGGTAATAAAAGTATTATTTATAAATTAAGAGATACATTAACTAATAATTTTGGCAGGATTTAGGTGGGCTATTATACATACAATAAGCAACAACAAACTCATATATAAACTATTATACCAGCAGTTTGTTAAAATCCTCCCTAGGCTACAGCCCACTGTAGCCGTGGGTGTAGCTCCGCCAGTGCAACCGAGGGTCAAAGGGTTATAGTATGGAATGCGAAGAATTAAAATAATATAAGGTAAGATAGTATGAAATGGTGAAAAATATGTGAGAAATGGTGTAGGAAACAATTAGAAATTAAAAAAAAAAAAGTCCAAAAAAAAGGGGGTTAGCTAACTGGCTGAAGATGGCTAGCTGGTTGGCCCCTGACCATTTTTTTGTCTTGTAGGGCCCACGAGCCATTTGACTTAGCCCTTGGTTGGAGACGATTTTCAGACTATTTTTGGCCCTCTGGCCCTCTGGACCCTTCAGTTGGAGATGGTCTAAACTCCCTCCTATAGCAAGGCAGTAGATGTTTGATTAGTATTTGTAACCAAAATACTCATAAGGCCTTCCACTGTGATTATACATAGTTTGATTCTCATATTTCAGGAATATATGGATCGTGTGAAAGCACTTTTAAAATTACAGAAAATGTTTTTGAAGAAAATAGTTATTGATCATAAAAGCACATGAAGTGTTTCTTACAAAAAAAAAAAAAAAAAAAAAAAAAAACATATATCAGGTGCTTACAACTCGGATTTTCATTGAGGTTAAATCTCCTCGCATTGCCTGAGGCCGAAACCTGTCAAGTGCACTAGACATCCAATGTGTATTTTAAAAAATTTTCTCATGCCCAGCTATCAGGCTAAAAATACGTTTCATCCCGAGCCCATAAACACCTATATATTATGGGTTTCAGTTGCTAACGGACTCCTAGAGCCCAAACAAACATATTTTTGTCAAAAAAAAAAAGCAGAAGAAAGTACCAATTAGACACAATTATGATGTTGTATTTGGAACTAAATTTTTGCTTAATTTGGAATGACTTCACTTAGTCTGGTTATTAAGTTCTTTGGACAGGTGCTTAGTTCATGATTAAAACATTTTCTTTACCTTAAGGAAGAAGTACCAATTAGACACAATCATGCTGTATAAAAATCATTAGAACAGACCCTGGCCCTCACTTTTCATAACATTCTCTGAATCATCTCTCTTCACAAGCTTGTCATTTTTCCTAATAATATAATCCATTTTTTGTTTAACCATAAACAATTATTGATTATCTTCGTTTCTTTCATTTCTGCAGGACCATTTGGTGTTAATTTCCACTATCGAATATATTTGCGATGCTAGAAACTGATAGGGTCTGGAGTCTGGACCACCTGGATATGAACTTGAGCTAGAAACTGATTCGCATCTTTTGATTTTATTTGTGTTGAATTGACTAATCGAAAGGCAATGATTAGGGTTAGCTTTCCTCAGGCAAGCAGGTACCAAATATATATAGCTAGAAAATGAATGGTAAATTTTTGGCATCTCTCGCTCTCACTAATGAACGTGAGTCAAATAATCATTTAGCTGTTTCTCATTAATTTGAAGATTACTTAGGCTTTGGATAAATGCAATCAAGCATCTACTTAGTACTAAGTCTAAGAATACTTCAATTTTACAACTTTACTACTTTAGCGTAAAATCTCAAAAGTGATTTTCAGGTCATAAAAGTGTTTTAGGAAGAAGGACCAACGAGTTCAAACGGATGCACACCTCCTAAAACTATATATGTATTAAACCAATTATTCACTTTGAAAGAATGAGCAAGAAGTGGACACTTAGCTTGAACAGCGTTTTAGTTAAGTTGAAGGTTAATCATATATAATTAAGGGCCTTTGTTTTGATTAATAAATCAAGGCTATCTCATCTCACGAGGACAAGTGAAGCCCATGCAAATGATTTGAGCACATGAGAACGCCATTGCATACTCCGAATGTGCATGCTCATGCTCATCATCATCATCTTTGAGACTTAAGAGAGTTTAAATTTCACAAATATATAGAATAACACCAACCCCCATGGAAATTCACACCCTCATCTCTCTCCCCCCTTTTTAAAATTTATAAGACAGACACCCTCCCATGATAGCATTTCATTTCCCGGAGGATAAAAACACAGAGAATACAATGCTGCATAATATTCAAAGAAACCACAGCTTCATTGTACAAGTAGGTCAAGAAACCCTCCGTAGCCAAAACTTAGACCCCCATCATCAACCTCCCAAGCTGAACTTGTCTGCGATGAAAATCTTCAATCGCTTCAGGAAGATAATAATGAAACTTATTTTTACTGTCCCGTCTCGATCGGCCCGCGGCACATCTCCGTCGGGAGCTACGAGCACTCCCAGGCAAAGGAACAGCAGCTGTGACAGATTTGAGCCTCCGAAGACTTCATGCAGTTCGTACTACTCGTCGCACTTGCATTATAACGAGGCCATCGCCGACTGCATCGAGTTCTTTAATAAGTCTTCTTCTGGCCAAGAGGGCAGTTTGGATGATGGAGAATTCAACGTTATGGTCTGATAGATATCATTTCGCCTGCATCGATCACAATATCACATTGTTTCTACTGGTGTTTAATATTTGCCTCATTTTTTCGTATAATTAATTTGTGATCTTTGTTTTCGTCCCAAGCCCATCGAAATAGCAAGTAATGAAACTTTGGTGTAAGGGTAAATGTTCTTATCCAGTTGCATGTTAAAGTATTTGATTTGTTTGCTATTCGTGTCTCTTAGATTGTGGAATTTGAACCTACAACGTACTGTTTCAGTTTGCTTGCGCTATATATCCCCCAATACATTCATGAAACTTAAAACAACCTTTACTAAACATATTCATATTTTCTTAATGCATGCATTGGTTTTGTTTAAATTATTTCTCATCGTATTATTTTCCCTGTAGCTGGGTTTAATTTCGAACAAATTTTCCTAAAAAGCAAAATGACTGCTGTTTCTAGCCAATTTGAGAAGAGAACTCTATGATGACTCTATCTGAACTACTCTAATTAGACAACTCTATCTGAACAAATTTTCCTTTCTTCGTCCGATGTCGAAGACTCGAAGCAATATATTGTTCCGGGCTGTCCATCTATAACTAGGTTGGTCCAGCAGCTCCAGCCCTATATCTATATGACCCATTATTGCTTTAAGCCCATTTCATTAGGGCACCTATTCAATTGCCTAAAGGATAAATTACCCTAAATTAATATAAAATATAAAATGAAAAATGGTCCTCAGTTGAAGAATGATAAAGAAAAGGAATAACACCTTAAGGGTATCAAGCACACTAATTCATTAGGTACTCCATTGAAGGACGCTGATTTATTAAGTGATTTTTATTGAGAAATTATTGTGCGGTACTGAAACACAGTCACGTGGTATAATCAATCCACGTACAACATTACAATTTCATCTTATCTCAAGCCAAATTTACATAATAGGTTAAAAGAACTGAAACATACAAAATACACTTGTACAAAAAAGGGTTGAAATACAATCCTCTTGGAGCCAAGAAGTATGTGTGGGCATGTATGTTGCATCAAGCATAAGCAACCTGTGAGCTTCCTTTCTTCTTAGAAAAGATCCCTGCGATCAGAGGAATCATGGGCTTCTTTTTCTTTTTCGTGAGAGAATGGTGTCTTTCCAATGTTTGATCAACACCACCTTGTGCAATCATCACTTGAGACCGAGAAGGTGGATTTCCAAATGTCACATATCTTTTCTTTTGGAACTCAAAACTTTCATCTTCCTCACCAGATGCTTGTGTTTTGGTTGTAAACTTGGTCGAGTCTTCGTCGACAATCCTAACGTCTTCAATCTCCGTTTCGATGAAGTGTTTTTCGTACTCCCGTTCCTTCAGTTGCTGGAGCTCTCGCTTTGTGCGTTCGAGCTCCTGTTTTAGAGAAGAGAGGCAGTTTTCCATGAGCTCACTTTCTTGTCTGGCTTTTTGGAGGCTTTGTTTTGTGTCCTCTAGTTCTGCTCTCACAGTTCCAATTCTGGATAATGCGGGGCCATGCCCATTTTCATTTGCTTCGTTCTGCATCTATATGGATCACGTACAAAAAGAACCCATTCCATTAGCATAGAAATCAAATGGTTCCCTTAGTTGAGAATTTTTTATAAATCGAACAATGTAAAACAGCTTGGGGAGAAATTTTTAGGGTAAAGACTTTGACGTCATGTCATTTGTATGTTAAGTACACATAAGGTGATCATCTTGCATTTAGGTTCATCAAAATGGACTCATGTGAAATCAAATATGCAAAAATTCTCGGTATATGTGTTTTGTGTGTATGAGTGACATAACACGAAAGTTTGTACTCAAGAATGTCTCTAATGTAAGAAATTCGGACTGACAGTTTGATAATGCAACAAATAGTAAAGGGGCCATGGATGCTTGCTTTGCTTGCTTGTGAGCCCTCCTAAAGTCTAAATAAACATTAGTTAATTTTTATTTAAAATAAAAAAAGGGATAGTGCAAGTGCATAGCATATAATTGGCATCTCTTGATATGAAAGCCAAAGAAGATTAGATTCCTTAATAAAGATGATCAATAAGGAATTAGCCCCTAGTGATGCTTCAGTGTTCACTTAAAATATAGAATATATCAAACTATACATTTTATAGGATCGATGGTGCTAGAATTATTTGTTTATTTAACTTTATATATTCTCTGATAATTAAGGACAAGTTGTACTATGTATGATTGACTAGTTTCTAGCAGGACCAACAAAGATGTTACATTTTGTAGAGAAAAAGACTACTACGTTGAAAAATTAGATGCACAAAATTAGATACAAATTACAATACGACATGTTGACACGATACAAGATACTTAAGAAATATAATTTTATTGATTAAAATGTATACAAGTTACGAAAAATCTCAGCAATAGGACTTACATGATAGCTCAGCTAGCTAGTACAACTGTACAAGTAGTAACATTTAACCTAACTAACAACCCTAATGCAATTATCAAAGTGGTACGAAAATTAAGGGGAACATAAGTTATATAACGGATGGATGAAGGATGCACCTGTTTGAGCTGGGAGGCATAGAGCTCTCCGGCAAGAACTTTTTCTCCGAACAACGCAACTGCCTCTTTGACGGAGCGGAACGGTTGCCTTGTATCGATCTCCGCCCTCCTTGTCCTCGTCACTTGCATTCCTCCTCCTCCTCCTCCTCCTACTTCTTTCTCCATGTTCACTTTGGAAAACGTTGCACTCGGTAGGATTGGATGAATGAAAGATGGCAACAAGAATGTGCTTTTTATTTGGACAACTCCTAGTTAGAGAGATAAAGAGAGAGAGATGGGATGGCTGGTTAGACTGACAACTTACAAGTGATTGAGGGAGAGAGAGAGAGGGATATAGGAGGGGGGAGGTTGAATTCGTTTCTTCGCGTCCACTTCACTAGATTTCTGTTAGTATCTGTGAATGCGAAAGGCGGTGGATGGATGGGTGGCTTCGTGGACTTTTAGCAAGAGAGAGGGACTCCTCGCCAAATACCCCCAACACACACACCAACAGACTAACTCCGCCAATTCCTAAGTTACCCTTTTCACTCTCGTGAACGTGGCCCAGCCCAGTCCGACCCAACCCTAATAGTATTGGCCTTTCCCACAAGATCCACAATCCACGAGCAATAATAGGCTTTACATATCTCAGTACTTTACCGTGATATTCCAAACTAATGACGCCACATCACGTAAAAATTAAAAAAACACATGATATCGCATCCCTTCTCCCTTGTAGCAACCAACGAAGAGATGAGAGGGCACACATGAACAGTTATTTGTCACAATCATGTTCAAAAGTATAAATACTGAAGGTTAATACAAATTTCATAATTTCAAAAGGTGAATCATTAAAAGGATTACGATAAGAATCATCAATCAATAACAACAAATTAATAATATCTTAATCTCGGCCAGCTTCCTCTTCCTTTGCCTTGTGTTTTACAAAAATTAATATTTAATGGAACGGGAGAGCATATAAAAAATAAATGCTGGCGGTCCAAGTCACGCTAAAGCATATTAGGACATGATATACTAAAAAATAATGTGAAAATACATGTTGCAAGCAATTAGATTTCGACCTAACGCCACCAAACTACAGACCGTTGTTTGCGTGCATCCACAAATCCACATTGTTTTATCCGTCCATCTAAATTATTTCTAAATTATTTTAATTAATGAGAGGAGGATTATATTAATTTCAAGTTTAAAGGGGTATCAACCATCACGTCATTTGATCAACTGGTCTAATTTGAGTTTAAAAGATGGTGGATTGTTTGGGTGATTAAATTTGTTCTCTTCAACACATTACGTTTTAAGTTCAGACCTTATTCAACGTAGCTTAAAATTTAAATAGTATATCACGTTAAATTTGTAATCTAGTTTAGAGTCGTATTATCGCTTTTAACGACTTAGACCAGTTGCTGTTAGGTTAGTTAAATGCTGAGGACCATTTGCCAGTTGTCATCCACAGATATAAAGACCAATTTATACAACACCAGTACAACGCTATATTCTCACATCTTTCCTTTTCATAGATCTCACCGTACTACACAATGTCAGCTGCTACCACGTCCCCAGCCGTTCGATCTTTCTACCTCCGGCGCCGATCACCTACGGTGGCCATGCCTCGCTGCAGGATGGCCGTCCGATCCGCTGCCGTTTCCCTATCTCCGCTGTTGACCAAGCTACACAACGACAGTGCCACTCCCCTGCCCCTCCTGCGCCACGTGGCAGACTCCATGGCCTCCGACATGCGTGCCGGGCTCGCCCGGGACGGCGGCAGCGACCTCAAGATGATACTCAGCTACGTTGATTCCCTCCCAAGCGGGTACTTTTTAAGAAATTGTTACGGTATATGTGTCAAAGTGTTATTTGCAGAAGAAGACAAGCGGTGTGCCGGTGTCCTTTCTCAGGGACCACTAGTGTAGTGTCGCAATACATAGAAATCTTATGTTAATTTTCTGATGTTTTTTAAGGAATGAGGAGGGGTTGTTTTATGCACTGGATCTTGGAGGCACAAACTTCAGGGTGCTGAGAGTACAATTAGGCGGCAAAGATGAGCGCGTGATTGCAACCGAATTCGACCAAGTTTCCATCCCCCCGGAGCTCATGTGTGGCACCTCAGAGGTAATTTTACTCGAGAATTAAATGTTAGTTTGTCACATTTTGTTACGTACATTAGTTAAAGCAATCTTGGTTGTTCACACTGCAGGAACTGTTTGATTTTATTGCTTCTGGTTTGGCAAAGTTTGCACAAAAGGAGGGTAATAAATTCCACCTTCCAACTGGTACGAAAAGAGAAATTGGATTCACATTTTCGTTCCCTGTGAAGCAGACCTCCATTGATTCCGGCATACTAATTAAGTGGACAAAAGGTTTTTCCGTATCTGGAACGGTTAGTACTTCCATTTCTACTTTTTTGTTTCATTGCTTCGTTTTCCTAGAGCTCTTCGTTGGATAATCGCGTAAAAACATGAACATTGTATTCTCATTCAGTGAATTTTGTAGCGTACTTTAGTCGCCTATTTATACAAGAGATTTAGGTCTGAATAAAGTACTTAATAATCAAGAGATTTAGTGAATCTCATTAGAAACTTGTTAACTTCCTGTGATCATAGTTAAAAACTTGTGAAAATATTTACAGGCAGGAAGAGATGTGGTTGCTTGTCTGAATGAGGCTATGGAAAGGAAGGGACTCGATATGCGCGTGTCTGCTCTGGTATGCTCATTTTATGCTAGCATCCTCGTGCAAAACGTTTGATGAACAACTGCCAATCTGATAGAGTTCAATGCGTATTAGGTTAACGATACGGTAGGAACTTTAGCTGGAGCAAGATATTGGGACGATGATGTCATGGTTGCTGTCATTTTGGGTACTGGTACCAACGCTTGCTATGTTGAACGTGTAGATGCTATTCCCAAACTACAGGGCCAGGTTTCTTCTTCCGGCAGAACGGTGTGTAAGACTCCAAAGTTGTCTCCTGTCCTTTCTTTATGGTCTTAGCTTAAATTTATTTCTCAATCTTCCCAAAATTTGGATCAGATTATCAACACTGAGTGGGGAGCATTCTCAAATGGTCTTCCTTTGACGGAATTCGATAGAGATATGGATGCTGCTAGCATCAATCCCGGTGAGCAGGTAAGCTTTACACTTCTATTGGTTGTATTTTTAGTTTTCTTATTCTTGATAGTAACCTTATACTTGTTGTTCATATTTCATATGAAGATCTTTGAGAAAACAATCTCGGGAATGTACCTCGGGGAAATTGTAAGAAGAGTACTAGTAAAGATGGCTGAAGCAGATGCTTTGTTTGGTGAATCTGTCCTAGAAAAACTATCAACACCTTTTCTACTCAGGTAACATATATAAGCTTCCCCAAATAAGCTTCCCCAAATAAGCTTGACATCGAGTTCCTTATTTCTTCGTATGCTGAAGTAAGTTATGAACTGAGTTTTATAGGACTCCATATCTTTGCGCTATGCAGCAAGATGCATCTGATGACCTTCAAGCTGTTGGGTCAATCCTATACAATGTAGCAGGGGTAAACTTCTAATGTTGTATTGTATGACAGTATGATCCAAAGCTAGTTTCATTTTTCGATATCTTTCCCTCATTAATAAATCCTTCTTACTCTAATTCGTTAGGTTGAGTCCAGTTTAAGTGCAAGAAAGATTGTGGTGGATGTATGTGACACCATAGTGAAGCGAGGCGGACGCTTAGCAGGTGCAGGAATAGTAGGGATACTGCAAAAGATGGAGGAGGATTCAAAAGATCTCATTTTTGGCAAGAGGACTGTTGTGGCCATGGATGGAGGGCTGTACGAAAACTATCCACAATACCGGAGGTATTTACAAGAGGCGGTGGCAGAGCTTCTAGGGACAGAGATTTCGAAGAACGTGGTGATCGAGCATTCGAAAGACGGGTCTGGTATAGGGGCCGCTCTCTTGGCTGCTGCAAATTCCCAGTACATATGATTGAGACTTGTAATAGTAGAAGGTAATTAGCCCCCGATGAGAAGGGGTTGTAAGTAATTTGAGTAATTTGGTTGCACTTGTTATTGTTTTGGAGAATAAGATAGGGAGTGAATGAGAGATTGAGAATTTAGGATTCACCTCAAAGTTGTAATTTGAGCAGTAGCTTGTACAATTTCTGGATCATAATGTACCATGATATGTATGGTTCAATTTTGTCGTTAACTTTTGCATGACAAAATAAAACAGAAGGATTACAAGGTAATCCTAATTCCTTTCATAATTTAGACTCACACAATCAAATTTCAGTAATAGCATTTGCAACGAAATTTGTCATTTTGGAATAACTAGCAAGAATTTTTGTCTAAAGTAACTGTTTTGAGCCTCCAGATATAGAATATTTATCGAGCGTCGAATTAACGGTTGGCTCAAAATCTCTATTTTGTCATTCATTTAATGACTTGTTAATCAATTATTGTTTGATTTTAAAATGGACCGACAACAAAACTCAAGAATTCTATATGATTTTTTGTCATTCATTTTATGAGTTGTTAATCAATTATTGTCTAATTCTAAAATGAAACGATAACAAAACTCAAGAATTCTATGAGTAAATTAGTTAAATTACGTGACGTGACGGTATTTCAATATTACACAAGAATACAAATTAACCGTTGGATACTTATGTTGACCAAGACCATCAACGGAGACAAGTCTCCTCTACCCAAGTTAAGCACACCGTTTTTTATCTTCCTCTTTCTCTTACCGCCCCGCGACCCACTGGAACTCCGAGACGACATCGCACAACGAAACCATAAAAGAAAAGGGAAGTTGGTAGCTTTCGTCCCGAAGTTTCGGTGTTCCGCTGTTGTTAATTTCTCCAGTTTTGCTTCGACAATGGTACTCCTCTCTAACCATTTCAGTGTTATTTGATTCGATTTCAAAATCTGACCCGATCCAATTCGTATGGCAGATCCGATTCATACTGTTACAGAACCGGCAGGGAAAGACCCGGTTAGCCAAGTACTACGTTCCTCTCGAGGATTCCGAGAAGCACAAGGTCGAATACGAGGTATGATCCTCATATTTCAATTAAGTTTTAATTTTTAATTGTAATTTGTGCGACAAGTTTTGATATTTCTAGGGTTTTTTAATTCGATGTTAATAATAGGTTCATCGTTTGGTGGTCAACAGAGATCCCAAGTTCACAAATTTCGTCGAGGTTTGTAATTTAATTTGCTTTTGTTTTTGGAATTTTTTCTTAAATAATTTGGTTAAACCAAAGATTTAATTTTCTGAATTAATTTGCAGTTCCGTACACACAAGGTTATATACAGGAGATATGCAGGATTGTTTTTCTCACTGTGTGTTGATATAACTGACAATGAGCTGGCATACTTGGAATGCATTCATCTGTTCGTCGAAATTTTGGATCATTTTTTCAGCAATGTTTGTGAGCTCGATTTGGTCTTTAACTTTCATAAGGTCCGTTGTTGCGTGTTCTCGCTTTTGCTTGATGTGATTATTTGCTTTTGTGTTTAGTGAATGAGTCACGCTAATTGTATTCGAAACTTACCTTGGATAGCGGTAAGAGTAGTCTATCTATATGAAGAATGAATAAGCCATGGTACTAGCCATTGTTTTCTCCTTCAACATTTAGGTTTTAACCAATCCAGGATGCATGGTAGACGCCAGTACCTAGAGTTGTTAACACCTTGTGTTGCAGTCGTATTGGTTTCTTCTCCGCTTGTGACTATGTACGGGTGTGGTTGTTTGTTAACTTACTGTTTAATGTTTTTCATTTTCGTTTATCAAAGGTCTATCTGATACTGGATGAGTTCATTCTTGCTGGAGAGCTCCAAGAAACAAGCAAGAAGGTAAGACCGTGAGAATGTCTATGAATTATTTTCTTGTGTAATTTTGTCCTGTTTCTGCTGCGTTTTGTGTTTGTATGCTGTTAGAATGGGGACAGGCAACAGAAACCTTGGTTTTTTGTTAGCCATTTTGGTCCGGGGACCCTTTGATCTGATTTATCTTTAATCATCATGTATCTGGATATTTGAAAGAAAGTGTGTGCCTTTCATTGCCCCTCATGGATCTTCTTGTTCTTTCCCCACTTGCTCTTGTGTTGTTTTGTATAGGACACCAAGAAACCAAATTACCTTGCTTTTGTACCTCTTCGTGCTTATTCTGATGTTATGTAATCATTGGTGGTCTGAATTTGGTAAATGTTATCTGCATTGCAAATATAAGACATCGAAGCTATCTGGTTTCATGAATTTTGTGTTGTGCTTGCAGGCAATAATAGAGAGAATGGGGGAACTCGAAAAACTAGAGTGAAAATTATCATGTGGATGACAAGTTTTTAGGATTGCAGTATTGGTTCTTTGTTTCTGCGGATCGTTTCAGTCAATTTTTGTATCGCCATTCCCTGTGTGAATTCCTCTCGTGTAATAAACCTTAATTGAACTAGAAGGTTTCCCTTTTTCATATATCCGTTGTACCCGGCTTTCCCCCCATTTTGGCATTTGTGTTTGAAATACATGTTCATATAATTGAAGGCATATACACGACCACCGTGTCTGTTTTTCAATACTTCTGTTTCCAGATAAGCACTTTTGTAGTTTACATGGAGCAATGGGTATATGCAAGTTAGCAGACAAACCATATTGTTCTTTGACATTGCTTGGAACAGGGGTCATGTTATGTAGGCTTTGCTTGCTAAAGTGAGAGCTCCTATCCTGTTGCGCGGACCAATGGTAATGTAACAAAGCGATGCTTAAGCCCGTGGAAGTATAAGCTGGACGTATTCGGGTGAAATCCATTTGAAATTTTTAAGGCTTTGCTAGCAAAAATGGAGAAAGCATGTTCGACAATGCGTTACTGATTTGAGATATCCTCATGTTGTGTGATTGACAATGCGATACTGCAGATCGGCAATGAAATATGCTTTGGATAGCACTGAAATCAAATCAAGTCCTTGTCATGCAAGACGACATTGTACAAACCAAGTGCTCCACGCAAAGATACCAAATAACACTAAAAATACCAAAACCGAGTGCCCTGCAAATCAGTGCTCTACGCAAAGAGCCCAAACTTGCCTAGTGGGCGTACCTTCAAATCATTCAAATTGTTGGCTCTGTTACGATTTAGTACAGCAGAAGCCATTTTCTGAGCGCGAGCCAAATTTGAGAGTGAGTTTCACAAGGGCATACAGAGTGAGTACTCTGTAGAGCAGAAACATTACTAATGTACTATTATCTTCTTTGTAAAAGATGAACAATATGCCTCAAATATGTTCGTGAAAAGATTACTACAAAACCTTTGCAGCCTAATAGTCTAGGGCATTTTTCCTACCAACCGAATCCCTCAGCTAATCAAGACATGGCCGAAATGCCGGGTGATCATTTATACATTATGTTCATCTCTTATTGAGTCGCGATAAAGTTAAGCAGCAAGTCCCCCGCTTCTGAACAGAAGAAAGAATGAAATAATTTACGAACCGGCTACTTCCCAATAGAAATTATTAGAGGTGCTCGCTGCAGAGCAACTGCAGTGGCAATGCACTTCCAGAACAAAATCCACCTCCAGACTCCTCATACACAGAAGGTAGATGGTGTTCTTGTCGTTTTACCCTGCCGGGAGGAAAAGATGAATTTACAGCCATTAGCTGCTGCTGTTGTTGAGACAGTGGTGCGTATTTGGGACCAACAAGTTCAAGCGTTGACGGGGATGGAGACATAAGGCCTTGGCTGCATGGAATCAACATCGAATCCTGCCTTCCATTTTGCCAACTGGGAAAATGAACTGCGGGTGCCGAAGTTCCCACCGGCCTGTACTGAGCAGCTAAGTGAGCGGCCCAAAGCCTCTGCTGATGCTGTTGGAGCTGTAGATGTTGCTGTTGAGGATGCTGCTTCGTCGATGCTGTGGGACTTGCTTGAGGACCAAATGGGTTGCCATGATATGGAGGTAGCTGCATCTGGGCCTACAGTTAAGTATTATTTCCTAATTTTAGTACTTTGCATTCAGTGTTTATATTCAGCATTATTACTACAGGTCTATAATAGTAAAAGGTCTGCTTGTTTACTAGTTAGAGTCAAAGTTGATCAGGTCCCTCTCAACTTTCCGTTACGTATATTAGACCAAATCCTGGTTCTATTAAATGAATCTAAGCTTCACAGAAGAAATGGAATAAAATGAAAAAAATTAAAGGAGATCAGAAAAACCTGCTGAGACACTGAAGGATTGTTAGGGTGAGCAGAAGAGCTGTACTGAGACTGGGGCAAAGAGAAAGGAATGAGTGTGTGACGTTGCATGAGAGGATGAATATACGGGGCTTGGGATTGTGATGATGGCTCCATCCCCCTTCCAGCTCTGCTAAAACTATTATTAGTTTCTGAGCCACCACCTCCAGCTGACAGTGACAGGAAATCAAAACTCTGCAAGAAACGAGGCCAGTGAGAATATCATCAAAACTCTGCAATGAACCAATAGCAATTACATCACTAAGCTTTACCTGCTTTGGTGAAGCGTATGCTCGAGATCCCATAGCGAACTGTGGCTGATCTTGATGGAGCTTCATCTGCTGCAGTGTACCGTTCTTAGCTTCGGCTGAATTTTTTTCAGAACTAGAAATACCGATGCTACTAGTAGCAACAATCCCATTTGAACCATTGTTTGCATTAGCATAGACATTAACTCCCAGAAGAGCCACTTGTTTTAATCCTTCATGTGGTGTCATTTGATTAGGCTGTAGCTGTAACTTATTCTTACACTCGGAGTTTTGTAAAGCCTGAATCAAGTGACTTATGTAAACATGAGCTGCGCATTTCTTACACGACCTTCTACCATGGAGAACATTAGTAACCTGTATAGTTGACAGTCCACCATACCCTAAATCAGAAGCTTCACATGGTATAGAAATTTGAGAAGAAAAGAGTGGCGCATATTGAGATGATAAAATAGCTGATTTGAAAACTGAAAGCCCTCCCTTCACCTTTCCAAAAGACGAACTATTTTGGACAGAAGCTCTCGAGGTAGACAAGGCAGCATCTAGCCAGTGCGGAATTTTAGCAGCAGGAGACCTTGAATAATAGCTAAAAAGCATGAGGAACGTGAAAAATACAGAGAAATAAAACTTATCTAGAAAATTTAACAAGGAATGAAGATAATTACTGTGACAATGATGATGGACTATCATTGCTAGCACCAAGAGAGACACTTGAAGACAAGCCAGGCCACAATACTGGACCTTAGAAAAAGAAAAAAAAACAAAGATTATGCAATCTTTAAGAAATTGATATGCAATGCTATATTAAAACACGCTTTTCACAAGTGAAAGTGAAATTACAGCCAATAGTGAAGAAGACTTTTCAGTAAACAAGAACTACCACTTTTCTTGGCTTCCTGATCCGTATTGTGCAGTTCAACTTGACCTGTAATAGTTGTGCCCTGAAGAGTAATCCAAATCTTAAAATCAGACCGATCTCACCAAATGGATATTTGACTTGGATTTGATGAGTTAATGCTTACCAACTCCAGTGCAGTTACTGGTTTTCTCTCAGGAACTGAGGACAACTCTTGCACAGGCTGCTTTAACCTGCCGGGAGATTAGAAAGATGATGATGTTTAAAAACAAAACAGATACACGGACACACATACACACAATGAAATAGAATAGAAAGGGACGGAAGCCAGAATTAAGTAGAAGAAGTACCCACCGACTATCCAGGCTTACATCATATTTGCAAAAGTTGTCAGCATTGCCTGTGGCAGGTTTTTCATTGCACCCCTCAACATTCACTGACAATGACGAAACATTCAGATTTTGAGGAACGGAATTATCTGAACTTATACATGAATTCCTGCTGTTAAGCAATTCAGGCTCATGTTGAGTAATGGGTTCGTTCAAACAATCAACTTGATCAGTTTCTTTTCCTAATCTTTCTACATTTGATGGACTGGCGGCCTCGGTAGCTCTCAAGGGGCAATATGAACCCCATTTTTCTTTTCCATCTGCAGAAACCAATACTACCACATAAATTAACAGTCGGGCACGATAGCATATATTTAAGAAAAAGAAGATTTGTAAGAAGCGAATAACGAATCAAACCTTCAAATGCAGATGTCAAACTCTCCTTTGACCCTGGCAAACCTGAAGGATTTGCATCTAATGATTCAATGTCTACTTTACTATTATCATTTACGTCGTTCCTGGGGAACAGTCCAGCCAAAGCATACAAGGTCTCCACAACTTCTTCCTCATCTTTTGTGATTTCTGAGCCGCCGTCTTTCTTCATAAGTAATTCGATCCCACTCATTGTATGGTTCACCTTCTTTGCATCTGGTAAAGACGGGGACGGAGATGCAGATTCACGGTTGCGCTTCTTCATTGCTGCAAGTGTATAAACAATTTCAAAAACCAGAAGACATCCATACTTCATCAACAGAATATGACAGGAACTGTTTCATTTTTTTTATTTTTAATTCCCTATAATCCGAAGGGGACCCGAATCATTGAAAGCCATTAAAGTATCTCTTTTGGAAAAGTAAAACTACAGAAACAAAAGGAGGGCTAAATCTCAGACCCAAATATAATAAATAATTTAATAAAAGTGGAAGCATCATATTAAATTGAATTAAAGTTGGGAAGAAAACTGACGAAACCTTGCTTCCCGAAAAAGCAAGAAAAAAGCCAAAAGCTTCAGTTTTGCTGCACTTCTAATCCAGAATTAAATCTAAACCAAAGAAAAACAAACTCGAAAAACTCCCCAGAAGACCCACCAAACAAATCAAATCCCAAATAATTAAATAAAAATATAATTACCTCAAAGGAAAATTTAGCATTGAAATTAAAAACAAAGATAAACGAGCAAAATTTCCCACTGTTAATTCAAACCCACATACCTGATCGCAGCTTCCGTGGAACAGAGGCATGATCAACGCCATTGCAATCATAAAAAAACTGGGGAAAAAAATAAGAAGAATTAAAAACAGAAGGATAAAACACGAATCAAAGATTTGGGTAATCGACAGAAGTACGCAAACCTTTCTGGGAAGCTTAAATCTCTTACTGGGGAGCTCATCGTCTCTGTCAGACACGTTGCAACCCATTTCGCAGTCTCGAAAGCTCGTCGTTTTTGCAGTACCAAGAGCACTTAATTTTCTGAGCCTCTCTTTCTTCGTTGATTTTCCAGAGAGCACAAAGTCCCCACCACCATCCAAACCTTCAAAATTTCAGAAGAACAAAATAAACGAACCAACTACTCAGAGAAAAATAGTGGTGATAAATATAAAGGAAGGAGGCACGCATTATCTGCAAGGCTTTTGTCAAAAAGCTACACAGATAACGACAAGTACCCATGAAGCGTTTTTGGAATTTTCTCAGCTGAGAAAATACCAAAATTCGAAAACGGTGAAATATTTTTTGGGATTTTAAAATTTTACAAGGGAAGAGCTTGGTGTCGCTGTTGGGTCCAGAAGATTGCTTGAAGCGAGTGGCTCCTCCTCCACGTCTCACGTCTCGATGCTTGGAGGCAGGTGGTACTAACATCTGGAATTCTGAAGGATTCTGGACCGTCTGATCGAGCTCGAGAAACAGATCCTTCGTCTCTCTGCAAATTTTGAGCTCAGCTCTCTGAAATCTTCAAACTTGGATCGCATATACGATGAAATGGAAGAAACTCAGGTGAGGAAAACGAAAAGACAACGGAACCCAGATGCTGGATTGGGGTAATGAGGAGGAGGCAAAGGTGTTGAAGAAGAAAGTGAGCGAGAACAACGTGTAGAGAGAGAGAGAGAGAGAGAGAGAGGATAGAGAAAGCTGTGTATTTATTTATTTTTGTGAGTATTGATAGCTATTTAGCGAAACGAAAAGGTCGCCGGAAAGAGAACCGAGTGGGGTTTGGGTTTTTTTTTTTTTAATATATATATTTTTTTTCAAAGAAAGTGAAAATCGTCGATTTATTAGTTGCTTCGATCGCTTGGCAGATATCTCTCTCTCCGTTTTTTCTGAGGGAGTGAAAAGAGCTAAGAAAATAAGCAGAAACAGAGGAGATTCAGAGAGGAGGAGGAGGAGGAGAAGAAGATAAGACAAAAAGCAAAAGTGATCAAGGGCAAAGCGATTTGTAAAAAAGCCACTGAAATTTAAAGCACTTCCGCTCTCGCACTCGTGCCCAGAGAATCAGGTTCTTCTTCGTGAGAGAGAGAGACGTAAGGGTGAAGAGAAAAGGAAGAAAAAGGGTCTTCTCTACGACTGAGAGACCCGTGAAAATAATGTGGATTGGGGAGAGAGGAGAGTTAGATCGCATTAATTTATTGAAAATTAAATGGGAAAACAATTAATGCTGTCGATTCAATTGGAAACCCAATTTTCTTCCACCCAACCCACCAAATTAAATCCAACAATTTCTCTCTTTATTTATGATCCGAACCCATTCATTGAATTCATCAGCTTCCCAAAAGCACTTATGGGAAAAGTTGACACCGAAGGAGCCCAGCCAGCTTTAGAAATTGAAGCTTGAATTTTGGAAAACCAGAGAGAAAGCAGAGAGAAGAAAAGCAGAAAGCCAAACGCAAAAGCCAGAAAGCACAAAAATGCTTCCGAAAAGACGGAATGACCGAAGCTTTTTTCCTTCTTCTCCCTCCCACCTCACGTCATTCCATCATCCACGGCTAAAACACTCTCTCAATCAGTCTGTGGTCCCCTCGCAGCCGATAGATCCAACACCATCTGATGGATAGGACAACTTTATATCCCGCGTGGCATCCTACATCAGACAAACCTCCCACCTCCACCACCTGCCCTACCACTTCACCTCCGCCGCGCTCGCCTTCTCCTGCAGTCAGTGCGGAACCCAAATTTCCTCAATCCGACGGGTGTTACTCTTCCTCGTGGCAGCATCAGAAAGTTCTCCGTACGAAACGATTGTGCTTCTCTTTCTTTGTTTGCAGCACATCCATTGGTTTTATTCTGTATCTCCCTCTTCCCACACCCACCATTTCTTTTTTCTCACCCAACGTACGTATACGTATTCTCTACGGTACGCTCTACAAATACGTACGCGTATAGTGTGCGTGTAAAACGCAACGCAATGAGGAGGACGGAAGTCAGGAAGGAAGAGTGGAATAGTAGATTCTAGATTGCAGAATGCAGGGCGACTTGTGTGCACGCTCCTTATGGGCGCGTGGGCGAAGGGTGGGAATTTTAGTACAAAACGTGTGCATCTCTCTGTGAGCGTCTGACTGAGTGACACTAAAATCTGCGGATGTGCATGCAGCTGCAGGGAAAGATAACAATATGTCCAATTGTAGAGAGAGAGAGAGAGAGAGAGAGAGAGAGAGAAGAGAGAAGAGAGAAGTTGTTTCGGGAGTCGCGAGGAAGGGGAGGGAGGCGATTAATTGGTTGGTTCCCGGCGATTTTTTATTTGTTGGGAAGTGGGGGGTTTGGGGTTATGCTTATACGGTAGTTTTCTTTCTCTGGAACTTGAAGCGGCGGAGGGAGAGAGTCACGTTTGTTACGTGACTCGTTCTTTACCGGGAAATTACTAAAGAAGGCCCTTAGCTAAAAAATTTCACATAATAAAGAGACTCCGGACAAATAAGATTATCGATTTTTCACCTGACATTGTTTAACTGTTTTAAGTTACCGTCACTTTAACGTCTCTAGTTGAAATAATTTGAGGCAAATGTAATTGGTGCAATGCAATCCAGGATTCCATAGGATTCCAGATTGTTAAGAAACCGCGAAAAGTGGTGTTTATTCGATATCGGGTAACGTGAACAGCGTCAAAACCCAGAGACATGTTGGATCTTACCATTCATGCTTAAAATATGGTGTTTGTTATTTCCCATATATTGGGCGTCCAAATTTACCAAAGTCGAATAAACATTTGCACGTGTTGTTTGGACCTGATTAATTGGTCCCCAAAATTGGAGAGAAATGTGTACATGTTCTGGCCCATTGGGCCTTCAAATCTCTATAAACATCAGATCCAATAGTTTCAACTAATTGGGCTTATGCTCCTAACAATAAAACGCCGACGAATCTGTAGTGTACCAGTTAATGGACTTTAGTATTTTCAATGAGCTACTTTATGAAAATAAATAAATAATAATATCTACGTGGTAATATTTTATTAAACTTGTAAGACCTAAATATCTGTCACATCAGCAAATACATTAAATTTTTGACATAGTTATAACAAAAGAACTACATTGATCTGCGACACTCATTTATATAATTATATTAATCAATTTTCAATTTCAGAAAACATCTTAATAAAAACCTTTTTGTGATTTAAAGTTGCATGATCAGTTTATAATTTCTGTAAGCTTAAATTTAAAAAGAAATTAAAGCGATTTCCAAACTTTGTATCACCAAACACAACATAAGGAAGAGAGAATAAAATAGATGAAGCTGTAGATAATTATGATTTATTGGGTTCATCTAACATAATAGATATATGATGTATAGTCCAAATGATCGATAAATATAAACTTGATACATTGACGTTTAAGGGCATTTGTGTATGCCTCCACGGGTAGTCATGTCTCTGTAACAAGGGCATACGTCATAGTTGCCGAAAGTACCAGATGGAACACAGAAGCATCTCCTACAACACGTCCCGCATGCCCTGTGGCACAGATTAGGCCTTGACAATTTTGAGCACCTCACAACACAAGCTCTGTCACAGTCTGGAAATATCACCATATTGTTTAATTATATAAGCATATAATTAAGTGGTTTGGTTATTGTAATATATATAGCAATTAATTAATAATTAAATACCTATTTTTGGCTGGGGAGGAGGGTTTGCAGCAAAGGTTGTGGTCATCTGAATTGCGTCACCCTGAGTTAGTCAAAAGCTTTGAACATAATACTACCCAAAAAAAAAAGGATTAAGTAGTTTAATTACATACCCTTTCATTGGAATTAGCGGCAAGCTGGAGACCGAGAAGAAAAACAAGCACGTGAGTGATTAGAATCTTCAACATCATTTTTGCCATGGGGTATTTGTATATGATTAGAACTGAGAACTGGTGTGGTTTGGAAAGTGAAAAACTGTTGTGGTTTTTATAGAAAAGTTTCATGAGGTTCTTGGGACATGGAGGTCATTTAATTCAGTGATACATCGATGACAGAAAGTGCTGCACCGTGTAAATAAAGTTTAGAAAGTTACATACTTTTGGTGAAAATTACAATTTTATTTTTATAAATTTGAGTTATCACTTCTAAATTATATTAAATTAACTTTAATTAGTGAATGGATATATTTAATGTTTTTGGCATCTACTGCAAGCGAAATTGACCATATGTGTTCAATTTTCAGACCTATAAACCTATAAATATGAAAAATTCAACTGTTGCATTTAATAAGTTCAATGTACGTGTAGATAAATTGTTCAAGTACACATGCATGAATAAACGTAAGTATAGAAAAAAACCGATAAAAGGAGACAGTTTATGAGTTGGTAGACTGCCTAGTTAACTTAAACCAGGACATAATTTGGTAAAATCCTAATTAAGTAACAAAGCACTATATCTGTATGACTAAGAATTTAGGATTACGTACGTTGCATCATAATGCAGACGTTTCAGACGTTTGTTCTTAGGGTTTTAGCACTTACAACTTACAGTTTCAGCTTGTAAATTTTGCAAAATGGGCTGGATTGGGCTCTGGGTCATTACAAATAAGGCCCATGATATAATTTATGCTTTTCAGTCTTGAGTAAAGTAGGCACGTCAATTTCAACTTCAATTGCATTGACTTGTGAGATATTATGGTCCAATTTGTCCTTATGGACAACTCAATCCTCCTGGTCAATTGGCATCTAATTATTCCCTCAGGCTGATGGAGGAGAAAGTACGTAATCACCAGGATAGTTAGTCAGTCAGATCACTCTCCCAAAGACGATTGCATATACGTTGAAACTTGTACGTACTTATATGAAGTCAGATGACAATTAAATAGAACAAAGCTCGTTTATTTGTGGAAAGTGCATGATCATTTAGCTCGTGAGTACAGAGATTTTATTGAACACGCAAAGAAAACTATTGATTACAGGTAAACCAGGAAGAAAAAAAGTAGTCACTATATCATCACTAGCTCAATGTCCCAGGACTCCCAACACTTCAAAACAATAACATTAATACAAGCAATTTCTGTAGCTTTAATTACACAAAAGGACATTTTTATTTATTTTAAAACAGATTATTTATATATCTGAAGGCATGAGCACCTTCAATTCCCATAGCATCTGCATGCCCTAATTTGAGCAAGCTTGTTTGAGTTTTCAAGACAGAGGATTGATTCAAGGGCACTTGCGTCTGCCGCCGTGGGTAGTGAGGCTGGCGTAACACGGGCAGGCCTCTTGATTGCCGGCGGTACCCGGAGGAACACAGCTGCAACGCTGGCAGCAAGTCCCGCATGCTCTCTTGCATAGATGAGACCTAGATGCTAAACGACAGCGAGCACTGCATGCCGCGCCACAGTCTACACAAATATTTACATTTAATCAAACACTATGGTACTATATTATATACCAAATCATATTAAAATTAAACAATAATATATATGTAATTAATTACCTATTTTCTTGAGTAGAGAACTCTGTTCTGGTCCTGGATTTGTGTTTACCTGCAAAATGATCAAAGCATAAAACATGCATATATCACCTTGAAGCTTAGCTTGTAAAACATGAAAAACAAAAGATGAAGCTAGCAAATAATAAAGTAGCTAGTTAATTATAATTATAAGCAAGAACTTAATAAATAATTACCTTCTCATCAGCTTCAACGAGATTGAAAACAAGAAGGGAAACGAGAAGCAGTGAAACAATCACAGCCCTGGATGATTTTGAGATGGCAGCCATGGCTGATTAACAAGATATAATTATTCCCTTAATTATATTCGACTCAAACCTAATTGAAATTGAGCTTAATGATAGAGGTACTTCTTTGTGGTTTGCATTTGCATGGTTTCCCTATTTATAGGGCAGGATTTGCCAGCTGGTGGGTACGTGTGGCATAAGATTATTGGCGGCGACGAGTAAAGCTAGCATTTTTGCTTGTTTTGTTTTGCTTTAATTTGTGGGGATGAACTTCCAAGTGGCCTTAGGCTTTAGTAGCTCATGGTTTTCATGCACGTCGAAAAGTGATGAGTTTTTGTTTTATTTTTTTCTTCTTTCTTTGTCGCAGATGTAGGTAGAACGAAAGCGCCTAATTAGATGGATAAATAGACACACACCACACGTAGTCTCGAAGACTGAATATAAAAGATTAAGTTTGACTTATTGTACTCTGTTATGCATATAAAGCAGCTAGTGAATCTAGCTAGCTAGCTGTTAAGTATGGAGCCTTGATAGACATGGGCAATATTCAATCAATTCTTCGTTTTCTAATTTTGATTTCAATACAAATCTCCTGATGTAATAGAATATGAATCAAAATAAAAATCACTAAAATTAACTCAAAAGTAAAGATAATTTTAGTTTAGAATTCGAAATGATCGTATATAACTTTACAATACAAAGTTAGTAAAGATCGTCTTATGAATTTTAGGCATGCACCAAAAAGAAAACACAAAACTCTTGCGTTGATAACTATATGCACTGCTCCAAAATCAAGTGGCTGAGATTAATAGTTGTAAATTAAGGTAATTAAATAAAGAAAAAACCCATAAATAGAAATGGATTGATATTTATTTAGGCCGTGCATGAAACTTTATGGTTTATGTTAACGTGGCTTAACCGTTACCACACAAACAAAAAAAGATAAAAATAGTATAAAAATAAGAAGGCAAACAATCCACCTAAACCAGGTCTTCTAAAATCAAAGACCAGTAAATGTTAATTAATTAAGCATCAATCACATGCCCCGTTGAGGTATATATGGGGCCGAATGCAGCTTTTTTTTGTCATAAACAAGTCTGTTTGGTAGCTTGATAGTACAGTATAATATGATGGGATGGATAATGGAGTCTTCTGGCCAACTTATATATTTATATATATACATTACTATATTATATACGTAGGTATGTATGAAGTGGAATCGAATACCAAACCAAATGCCACTAATGAAATTTTTGACATAGTTATAACAAAAGAACGACATTGATCTGCAACATTCATTTATATAATTATATTGATCAATTTTCAATTTTAGAAAACATCTTAATAAAAACCTTTTTGTGATTTAATGTTGCATGATCAGTTTATAATTTCTGGAAGCTCAAATTTAAAAAGAAATTAAAGCGTTTTCCAAACTTTGTATCACCAAACACAACATAAGGAAGAGAGAATAAAATAGATGAAGCTGTAGATAATTATGATTTATTTGGTTCATCTAACATTATAGATATATGATGTACAGTCCAAATGGTCGATAAATAGAAACTTGATACATTGATGTTTAAGGGCATTTGTGTATGCCTCCACAGGTAGTCATGTCTCTATAACAAGGGCATACATCATAGTTGCCGAAAGTACCAGGTGGAACGCAGAAGCATCTCCAACAACATGTCCCGCATGCCCTGTGGCACATATTAGGCCTTGACGATTTTGAGCACCTCACAACACAAGCTCCGTCACAGTCTGGAAATATCACCATATTGTTTAATTATATAAGCATATAATTAAGTGGTTTGGTTATTGTAATATATATAGCAATTAATTAATAATTAAATACCTATTTTTGGCTGGGGAGGAGGGTTTGCAGCAAAGATTGTGGTCATCTGAATTGCGTCACCGTGAGTTAGTCAAAAGCTTTGAACATAATACTACCAAAAAAAAAGGATTAAGTAGTTAATTACATACCCTTTCATTGGATTTAGCGGCAAGCTGGAGAACGAGAAGAAAAACGAGAACGTGAGTGATTAGAATCTTCAACATCATTTTTGCCATGCAGTATTTGTATATGATTAGAACTGAGAACTGGTGTGGTTTGAAAAGTGAAAACTGTTGTGGTTTTTATAGAAAAGTTTCATGAGGTTCATGGGACATGGAGGTCATTTAATTCAGTGATACATCGATGACAAAAAGTGCTCCACCGTGTAAATAAAGTTTAGAAAGTTACATACTTTTGGTGAAAATTACAATTTTATTTTTATAAATTTGAGTAATCACTTCTAAATTCTATGTAATTAACTTTAATTAGAGAATGGATATGTCTTTAATGTTTTTGGCATCTACTGCAAGCGAAAATGACCATATGTGTTCAATTTTCAGGCCTATAAACCTATAAATATGAAAAATTCAACGGTTGTATTTAATAAGTTCAATGTACGTGTAGATAAATTGTTCAAGTACACATGCCTGAATAAACGTAAGTATATAAAAGACCGATAAAAGGAGACAGTTTGTGTGTTGGTAGACTGCCTAGTTAACAAAAACCAGGACATAATTTGGTAAAATCCTAATTAAGTAACAAATCACTATACCTTTATGACTAAGAATTTAGAATTACGTACGTTGCATCATAATCCAGACGTTCCAGACGTTTGTCGTTAGGGTTTTAGCACTTACAACTTTCAGTTTCAGTTTCTAAATTTTGCAAAATGGGCTTGGATTGGGGGCTGTGTCATTACAAATAAGGCCCACGATATAATTTATGCTTGTCAGTCTTGAGTAAAGTAGGCACGTCAATTTCAACTTCAATTGCATTGACTTGTGAGAGATTATGGTCCAAGTTTGTCCTTATGGACAACTCAATCCTCATGGTCAATTGGCATCTAATTATTCCCTCTGGCTGGTGGAGGAGAAAGTACGTAATCACCAAGATAGTTAGTCAGTCAGATCACTCTTCCAAAGACGATTGCATGTACGTTGAAACTTGTACGTACTTATATGAAGTCAGATGACAATTAAATAGAACAAAGCTCGTTTATTTGTGAAAAGTGCATGATCATTTAGTTCGTGAGTACAAAGATTTTATTGAACACGCAAAGAAAAATATTGATTACAGGTAAAACAGGAAGAAAAAAATAGTCACTATTCCATCACTAGCTCAATGTCCCAGGACTCCCAACACTTCAAAACAATAACATTAATACAAGCAATTTCTGTAGCTTTAATTCACAAAAGGACATTTTAATTTATTTTAAAACAGATTATTTATATATCTGAAGGCATGAGCACCTTCAATTCCCATAGCATCTGCATGCCCGAATATGAGCAAGCTTGTTTGAGTTTTCAAGACAGAGGATTGATTCAAGGGCACTTGCGTCTGCCGCCGTGGGTAGTGAGGCTGGCGTAACACGGGCAGGCCTCTTGATTGCCGGCGGTACCCGGAGGAACACAGCTGCAACGCTGGCAGCAAGTCCCGCATGCTCTCTTGCATAGATGAGGCCTAGATGATAAACGACAGCGAGCACTGCATGCCGCGCCGCAGTCTACACAAATATTTACATTTAATCAAACACTATGGAAATAATATATATATATATATATATATATATATATATATATATGTGTGTGTAATTAATTACCTATTTTCTTGAGGAGAGAACTCTGTTCTGGTCCTGGATTTGAGTTTACCTGCAAAATGATCAAAGCATAAAACATGCATATATCACCTTGAAGCTTAGCTTGTAAAACATGAAAAACAAAAGATGAAGCTAGCAAATAATAAAGTAGCTAGTTAATTATAATTATAAGCGAGAACTTAATAAATAATTACCTTCTCATCAGCTTCAACGAGATTGAAAACAAGAAGGGAAACGAGAAGCAGTGAAACAATCACAGCCCTGGATGATTTTGAGATGGCAGCCATGGCTGATTAACGAGATATAATTATTTCCTTAATTATATTCGTCTCAAACCTAATTGAAACTAAGCTTAATGATAGAGTTACTTCTTTGTGGTTTGCATTTGCATGGTTTCCCTATTTATAGGGCAGGATTTGCCAGCTGGTGGGTACGTGTGGCAGATGATTATTGGCGAGGACGAGTAAGCTAGCATTTTCAGAGAGATTTTTCAGTGTGACCGTTACATGTTGTGTAATAACCTAAAAATTAAAATTTTCCACCACATATATAAAAACACGTAGTGTACTATCTGTGTTTCCATCACAACTAAAAATCTCTCGCATTTTTGCTTGTTTTGTATTGCTTTGATTTGTGGGGATGAACTTCCAAGTGGCCTTAGGCTTTAGTAGCTCATGGTTTTCATGCACGTCGAAAAGGATGAGTTTTTGTTTTATTTTTTTCTTCTTTCTTTGTCGAGTATGTAGGTGGAACGAAAGCGCCAAATTAGATGGATAAATAGACACACACCACACGCAGTCTCGACTCTCGAGAACTGATGATAAAAGGTGAAGTTGGACTTATTGTACTCTGTTATGCATATAAAGCAGCTAGTGAATCTAGCTAGCTAGCTGTTAAGTATGGAAAATTTTTAGTTGTGATAGGAACACGAATAGTACATTATGTGTTTTTACGTAAATGGTAGAAAATTTTAATTTTTAAGCTATTAACCTTTTAATACACATATCCAACCATTTATATAGAGACACGTAATGTACCGTCTTGTGTGACGGTCACACTGAAAAATATCTCGTTAAGTATGAAGCCTTGATAGACATGAGCAATCAATCAGTTCTTCATTTTCTAATTTTGATTTCAATACAAATCTCTTGATGTGATCGAATACGAATCACGAATCAGAATAAAAATCATTAAAGTTAACTCAAAAGTAAGATAATTTTGGTTTAAAATTCAAAACTCTTGTATATAACTTTACAATACAAAGTATTTCAGGCATGCACCAAAAAGAAAACACAAAACTCTTGGGTTGATAGCTATATGCACTGCTCCAAAATCAAGTGGGTGAGATTAATAATTGAAAATTAAGGTAATTAAATAAAGAAAAACCCCATAAATAGAAATGAATTGATATTTATTTAGGCCGTGCATGGAACTTTTTTGTTTATGTTGGCTGGCCAGACAGGTCTTCTAAAATCAAAGACCAGAAAATGTTAATTAATGGGTAAATTACATAGTAGCCCCTCAGGTTTGAGCTGTATTGCAATCTCATACAACATCTTTAAAACATTTCACTTTCATACCTCAAGTACTATTTTATTTCAATTTCATACAACCGTTAGATTTTCCATCCATGGATATGTTAAATGCTGACGTGGCTGCCACATATATGACACGTGGTTGCCAAATGTCTGCCACGTGGCAAATAAAATAATTTTTTAATTTTTTTTTAAAACCTGAAATTGGAAGAAAAAAAAAAAAAAAGAGGTCCGAACCCAGAAGAAGAAGAAAGAGAAAGAGAAGAAGAAGAAGAAAAGAGAGGGGAAGGAGAAAGAAGAGAAGAAGAAGAAAAAAAAAAAGGGTCCGAACCCAGAAGAAGGAGGAAGAAGAAGAAAGAGGAGGAGGAGGAGGAGGAGGAAGAAGAAGAAGAAGAAGAAAAAAAAAAAAAAAAAAAAGGACCGAACCCAGAAAAAGGAGGAAGAAGAAGAAGAGAAGAAGAAAGAGGAGGAGGAGGGAGAAGAAGAAGAAGAAGAAGAAGAAAAAAAAAAAAAAAAAAAAAGGTCCAAACCCAGAAGAAGAAGAAACAGAAAGAGAAGAAGAAGAAGAAAGAGAAAAAAAAAAAAAAAAGAAAAGGACCGAACCTAGAAGAAGGAGGAAGAAGAAGAAGAGAAGAAGAAAGAGAAGGAGGAGGGAGAAGAAGAAGAAAAAAAAAAAAAAAAAAAAAGGTCCGAACCCAGAAGAAGAAGAAGAAGAAGAAAGAGAAAAAAAAAAGTGACAAATATGTTTTTTTTTTTTTAATTAAAAAATTATTTTATTTGCCACGTGGCAGACATTTGGCAGCCACGTGTCATATATGTGGCAGCCACGTCAGCATTTAACAGATCCATGGATGGAAAATCTAACGGTTGTATGAAATTGAAATAAAATAGTACTTGAGGTATGAAAGTGAAATGTTTTAAAGATGTTGTATGAGATTGCAATAGAGCTCAAACCTGAGGGACTACTATGTAATTTACCCTTAATTAATTAAGCATCAATCACATCCCCCGTTGAGGTATATATGGGGCCGAATGCAGCTTTTTTTTTTCATAAACAAATCTGTTTGGTAGCTTGGTAGTACAGTATAATATGATGGGATGGATAATGGAGTCTTCTGGCCAACTTATATATTTATATATATACATTACTATATTATATACGTAGGTATGTATGAAGTGGAATCGAATACCAAACCAAATGCCACTAATGAAGTGGTTAGCAGTGGATTATTGGTAGTTTTGGACCCAATCATCGTCATCCTATGTCTATGTCTAATCATTTTATTTCTAGGGTTAACTAGCTACCTTATTAATCCACTAATTAGTGTTTGCCAAGCAAACCAATAATTAACAAAAGGTTATGATCTGGAGATATATTTTTTTGACACATGTTTTGTGGGGCTTATTTTTAGTTTATTTTAACGGTCTAACCGTCTATCTTTTATGTATTCTTTCAGACATCTTTTAAAAAATCATTCAAATCTGCAGACATATGACCCTTGGATTAAAATTAGTATTTGATTGAAGAACCGTATTCGTCTATCATCTTCGTTACAAATGGATGCCATAATGATTTTCAATTTGCCTATTTTTTACAAGGATGATGTTTGAATGATGAATTATATATATAGACATTTCGAATCCTTAAAAAAAGTTACGAAATTGTAGCTACAAAAACGTGTGCCTAAGTGCGTCGTGGAATCCTAATGCATTAACCAAATATCAACCACAATTAAAGTTAGTTTACGTATTGTAAGCGGTGGATTACCCTGGCAGTTAGGACTTTTTTTGTTGATTAGGGTCTTATTCTTTAACCCATTGCTCTCTGAATTCAAACCTCTCTCTTCCTCTTTAGTATAAATTAGTATAAAATATTGTTTATACTAAAAAAATTAACGTAATCAATGTAAGAGCAATGCATCTATAAAACTTGAAATTGTGTTGTGTTACTTGTGTACAAATTATGTTTGGTGAGAGTGTAGGGTATAGAACTTTGATTGTAATCGTCGTCGTTCTAAT